TTTTTTTTGTTTTTCTCCGGTACCGGGAACCGAACTCACGACCTTGCGCTTGCCAGGCAGGCGCTTTTGCCGCTGAGCTAAATCCCCAGCCCCTGACTCATTCCTTTAGACCTGGCTCAGCCTCTGTTCCTGTGCTGAAGCTGTTCGTCTCTCCTCTGTGGAAGGAACTGTTGCTGTGTGTTTCTCTCACAGTGTTTGATACGTATTTTCATTGTGCCACTTGAATTATACAGCAGTTGATCCTCTGCTGCGTGCGCGCGCGCGTGTGTGTATGAGAGAGAGAGAGAGAGGGAGAGAGAAGCTGGTATTTAGTGAGCACACTATGTTAGCCTCAGTGGTGAATCAAATCTACCCGATCCCATGCAGTTTACAGTCTAGCAGTGTGTGTGTCTCTGGTGTATCGTGAGTTCTGTGTGACGGAGATCACATGTTCTCTCGGTGTCCGTCACAGCCCTGGCACACAGCTGTGACACTCTCCACGAGTACTTACTGAGTGCATGCTGATGGGCAGAAATGGGTGCTAGAGAGAAGAGAAGCTGGGGAAAGGACTGGATGATTTCTTACAGGAACAAGGTACACGGAGTCCCTGGAAAGGTGGGCTTTTGCCTCCATTTCTAAAGCACAGTCTGCACATGCTATGTGGTTAGCCATTTGTGGTAACCCATGATCAGGACTCCCAAAGCGAGTTCTGAGATTGGATCTAGATTTTTTGTGTGGCGTCCCAGAGAAGTCCGTTTCTTCTGAAGAATGTGCGCAAGGCCCAGCGGCTGCTGTGTGTCTGATCACCTGTCCTGTGAACCAGTTCTCCGCGTGGGAGATCTGGGGACTGGCTGCCCTGACTGGTGCCGCTGTCGGTTTCTTTCAGGGATCTGAAGCTAGACAATGTGCTGTTGGACCACGAAGGTCACTGTAAGCTGGCTGACTTCGGAATGTGCAAGGAGGGCATTTGTAATGGAGTCACCACGGCCACCTTCTGCGGCACCCCTGACTACATTGCTCCAGAGGTGAGTGCACCTGCTTGGTGAAGCTTTTGAAATCTGAGCTCTGCGGTGGCCCTGACCAGAAGTGCCGCTGTCCTTTTTTGCATGCCATAGCTTTCCGGCAGTATTGATGCCGGTGCCTCTGGACTCGTATGGCTGATTGCGTGAATGGGGCTGAAGATGTCCCACGTTCCTGTAAACAAGAATTTGCATTTAAAAAAAAACATTTTAGCAAACCTTGTAGTTACTTTAGGCTTTGGCCCTCAATAAGAACTAAATGTATTCTGTTCATGGCTGTTTTCCTCTTTGCACTCATTTAACGGCTCCGTTTAACAGATATAAAGACAAGCTCTTGAATTTTTCCCATGTCAGTGAGTGAAGCCAGCATGGAGATATTTCCAAGGCCCACTCTGTTTTGGATCAGCCTGGGTCTAAGCAGCCGCCAGTGTTGGATCACCTAGGAGAGAGGGTGCCCTGAGTCGAGCACAGAGAAGACAGACCACTCGGGAAATGGAATGAGGCGTGCGTGCCAGCATGGGAGATGTTAATATTTTTTATTGTTTTTTTGCATTGATATTTCCTAACCTGTTACAGTCCTTATTCACAAAGAATACCTTGATCAGTGAGATGCACAAGGCACTTCTCACACCGTCTCCCTTGCACAGATCCTCCAGGAGATGCTGTATGGGCCTGCAGTGGACTGGTGGGCCATGGGCGTGCTGCTCTACGAGATGCTGTGCGGTCATGCGCCGTTTGAGGCTGAGAACGAAGACGACCTCTTTGAGGCCATACTGAATGACGAAGTGGTCTACCCCACTTGGCTCCATGCAGATGCTACAGGGATCCTAAAATCTGTAAGTTTGGCTTCTCCAGCCAGCGTCTGAACTGGTGCAAACCAGTTTGTCATATGTGCTTCTTACGTGGTTTTTTTTTTTTTTTTAATATCTTCTACCAGGAAGCCATGAGCCCTAACTAAAATTTGTGTTTCAATTTAAAGAATCACAGAACTGTAGTTCCCCCAGGCTATTTTCTTCTCTTATGCAATAGTGATTTCTAGGCCAAATGTAATATCGGTTTATAGTCTTGTTTGTCAAAAGTCAAGTATTTCTAGCACTTACAGCTTGAATGCAGGGGAAGAGATGCTCCCATTACAGATAGTTAGGGCTCAGCCGGGGTCAAGCGAAGACCATTCTCAGTTTTTCATGGTGGTAACTGTGCTCTCAGCAGTGTCTGAGGCACAGGACAAAGGGCACTTTCCCTTAGTGCAGAGAGAGGAGGGAAGTTTTCCAAATTTCTATAGATCTCTTTGGCCACTGTGTTCTCTCCATGGAAACCAGGTGTCAAGCCTGGGATTGGCATGTGACAGGGTAATGTGTCATGGTGAGGAAGTCTTTTTTGGTATGGATTTGAGGCACTCTGTTGTGTGCCTTTGAAGTGGGGCAGAAACATGGCTTTGATGCCTATAGGTTGAAAATAGCAAAGTATATGTAATTGGGATCAGTGCTGTAACCATAGCTAGTTAAAAAATCACTGATTGTCATCTACTATATGCAGAGTGGTGCAGAAATAAAAGTCCTTTAACTAGTGGAAAAATCAGTTATCTGTTGGATCATGTTTGTGAGATTTTTATGGAATCTTATCTCATAGATACTACACTCAATTTCTATTTTTTCAATTAATCTTTCCAGAGTTATATCCTTTTTGTGATTTGAAGTAAAAGATTAAATATGATAAATATTAGCTGTCTTGTTGAAAGACTCATCTCTTTAGAAATCATGATTCTTACAGTCAGTACCCTTTTGAGGATACCTTGTGTGCTGGTCCCTGTGTACTGACACTGAAGTCATGATTGTCACCTAAAATTCTCCACATCACTGAAAGAAAAATAATCATGGAAATCCTTCCTAGGCAAATATTGCAAACTGGATCATAATTCATAACTTGAGACTTAGAGACTCAGAAGCCAGTACTCTCCTGAAACTGAGAAAGCATGAATCTCAAAAAGAAATACAAACATAATACTTTGGAGTTTTACCAAATGTCTCCTGTCTGGTATATTTTCATAAGAACAATTTATTTATATATTCAGTAGGAATTTTAGACTGAGGAGATCAAGAACATGAGCTTTATAATTTTACACATAAAAAGAAAAAGTCATGGAGAAGTGTTAATATGTGCCATGAAGTTTTAAATTTCCCGGTAGGGGATCATACTCACCTGCACTGGCCGCAGCTGACCTTGATAATGTCAGCTGTAACGTCACAACTTCATGGTGCTAAGGAGTGAGGCTTACTTTGCATTACTACTCTCCCAGCTTCCATAACCCAAAAACCGATCGTTCGTGACTCCCAAGGCCTGCTGACCGCCGTGGGCTGCAACAACCACCCGCGTAACAATGATCTTTTGATGCACATGTTTTGTTCAATCACTGTAGCTGATTTAGCATTTTTAATGTTTAAAAGAAGGACCCCAGAGTTCCTCATGCAACTGAAAATGCTTTTCAAGCTGTAAAGCAGTATGTGTTGTGAGGCAGGAGGATCACTAGTTTGAATTCAGCCTGGGCAACTTAGCAACTTAGTGAGTCTCAAATAAATAAATAAACAGATAGGGCTAGGAGTGTAGTGCAGTGCAAAAGCATGAGTTCAGTCCCTACTAAGGAGCATAAGGTGAGTGACTACAAAAGAAAAATAAATCTGTATTACTAGGCTTGGTGTATAAGGAGTACTCTGCTTGAAACCATGGTAAATAGGAAATAAAAATTATCCTCTGCTTCAAGAAACGTTATCTTTCTCCATTTAGGGATTAATAGTCTAAATCAGTGTGCCTACAGTAAATTCCTCATGGCTTCTGAATCTAAGTGTAGTGGAATTCTGAAGAGGTCACATCTCTCTTTGGGTTGATTGTCTCTTTCATCACCTTCTCTTAATTTTTTTCTTCATAGTTATAGAAAAATTCCTCAACCTCATTCTAGTACCTCAGAGTCATCCTGAGAGAGTTCTTTCAACTAAACCTGAAACTAGACATCACCCCTTTAGCCAAGCTTTGTAGAACCAAGAGCAGGTCCTGGGCGGCGTTATAGTTTATATGTAAGTGTGCAGACTGGATAAACTCAATTCCTTGAAGCTGCATTTTTGATGTAAATATGTTTTTGGTGACTGTCATGTGCTTTACCCAGTAATGCCCTCCACAGTCTGTTCTGAGAGGAAGCAGCCTCCAGCACCTCACCTAAAGAGAATGACAGCCTCCTTGGAGATTCCACTGTCCCCTCTCCTTGCAGGTCCACTTCCGGGAAGCTGTGAATCTCTTCCTGTTTCCCGGCTCCTGTCTAACGCCAGCTTCTCCTTTTGCTGGAGACCACAGCTGAGCTGGTTCCATCTCCTCTGCCTCCCACTGACTTTCCTAGATGGCCCTGGGTGTTCCCTCTGGGGTGTCATCCCCACAGGAAGGGACAAGGCTTCGTGTTTACCGCACCGGAGCTGGGCAGCAGGCTTATTCGCAGGGCTGGCAGCGTGACCTTGATGAGCTCCTTCCCTGAGTCTCAGTGCTCTTGCTTGTAAAGAGCAGTAATAAAATCCAGGTCATAGGGTCATTGTCAAGATTAAGTGAAAAATACATGTATACCTCTCAAACACACAATGAGCATTGCGCTTCTTCCACCTTCAAAGAATGTGCCTGCAAAGCAATTTTCTGAAATATACTTAAAAGTTGTCAGATAAAATTACTACAAAACAAAAGCACTCTGTGGACCATGTTGTACATTCCAGTCTCCATACCTAAAACTAAGACACTTCAACTGCTGTCACCAGGACACTGAGCTAATCTGTGCAGCGGGCTGAATGAGACATTTAAATAGCAGTGTGTCGAGACAAAGAGAGAAAGCAGTCAGAGCGCTCAGGACTCAGGAGAGAGCTGGGGATGAGGCGCAGAGGTGGAGTGTTTGGGAAGCATGTGCATGGCCCTGCGTTTGATCCCCAGTACTGGGGGAAAAATACAAAGCAGAGAAGCACTGAGCAGGCAAAGGCCTCAGAGCCATGGGAGTTAAGAACTTGCCTGTGGACCCCAGAGCTGTCCTGGAGGCAGATCTGGCTCTTCCCTTGCCTAGCTGTGGACCAGTTTCCTCCTCTGCCGATGAGGCGCCATGTCTGTCCTGTAGGGTTACTGCGTGAGTGGCTGGACCGTGTGTAGGTTGGTTGGAGCAGCGCATAGCAGAGACAGCACTTAGGACATGATCTCCAGCTACAAGAGCTCTGTGTATGAAAAAAATACTACTTTGGCATAGTAGGAAGAGGGTTCAAGATAGCAAGGCACACTTCATAAACCATCCAGATTGCTTTCTGGCTCGAATTTCAACTTGATTTAGGTAGGCCCAGATACTCTTTTCCTCATTACACCGTCATGATTATTTTTTCTGAAAACTTCTGGAGATAGAGATAGTTACACAACAATGTGAATGTGCTTAATGCCACTGAATTGTACACTTAAAAAATAGTAGAGTTCTGTGTGATGTGTATTTTGCTACTATAGAAAGAGAAGAGGGAAAAATGAAATCAGAGTCTAAGATTTCCTGACGCCTAGGCAAAGATTCCAGGCTGGACTGTACCTTTCCCTTCCCCATTTTCTTCTACCTCTCATTAAGAAATATCATTCTACTCTTAGCACCCCGTGTTTCTAGTACCCAGATTATTTCCTGCTGTGATTCTCTCCTATAGTACCAGGAACATTAGCCACTGAGGACGGTGCCAGGGTGCTGCGCACTCACTGCCCACATAATGCGGATCTCTCCCTGTTTAACTTTCAGTATAGTAAGATGACAGTCAGTGGTAGCATTAAAGATTGTGCATTTGAGCAGTGCTGCCATAGCAGTTATTCGCTTACCGTGAGAAGAGCATCTGTGATCAAGAGAGGAGAAGCTGATACTCTGGCAATCAGAAACCACGCTCGGTTCCATTCGGTACATGCTCGTCACGTGTCTTCCTTTGCTAAATGCTGGGAACGCAGATGTGAAAAGTTCTTCTCCTGTTGCTCACAGATTAGAAGGAATGAGACCAGGTAAACAAATACTTAGTATACTTCCAAGGAACAATGATCTCTCAAACCTTTCTCTGGAGACAAGTACAGGGAAGGCAACCTCGGGACAAGACAAAAGAAGTGACATTCAAGCTGAGTTTTAAGGGAGAATTACAGGCACTCAAGTGGACAGGGTGAAAAGTAGTTTGTAGGTAGAGAAACTACTTGGGCAAAGCCTCAGAAACAGGAAGTAGCATGTGAGTCCCGGGAACTTGAGTTACATATTCATACTGCGGGAGAATTAAGTGCCGGGTGGAGAGAGGGAAAGGTGAGTGTCGGGCAGGTGGACAGTGATGGGTCCGGAGGTGTTTGGAGAGACGCGTACACTTTGCAACTGATCCCGTGGGTCTGGAACTCGGGTGCAGGGTTGGAGATGATCACCAGTCACCAAGAACTACAGAGTACATGTTAATAGGGGAGAGGAGAAGAGTGAAGGGAGTAGGGTGTGGGGTGGGGCATGACCTGGTGCTGAGAAGAGGGTTTGGAGGAAGCCAGGAAGGAATGACTTCAGACTGTATAAACATGCAAGGCTGCAACATGTCTGCAGGTTTTACTTCCAGTGAAGTAAGTCAGTGGTTATGTAATATGATTCACCCGGAAACTGCTGCCCACAGTAACTTTTGAGTAGTTCTGGCAAGGTGGGAACGGATGGTTCTCTGCCAGATGACCTAGGTGTACAGCTTGGGAATGGATTCATGTTAGGACTTTGTTCAGATGGTATCTTTTCAAGGGCTCCAAACAAGCTTTTATTCTGTGTCCCATGGCAGATCAAGTTATACTGTTTTCT